TGGTACATATTAGTATTATTAGTATCAGTTATAATAATAGACTGGATAACAGTGAAAGGGGCCATTTTTGCCCTGGAAATTCGTGCCTGGAATAGGGGTCGGCAAACTTTCCTCCACAGGCCAAGTCAAGCCCATATCTGTTTTTGTGCAGCTGGTGAGCTAAGAATGGTTTTTACATACTTAAGTGGTTAAAAAAACCCAGAAGAATAATATTTTTGACGTATGAAAATGATATAAAATACAAATTTCAGTGTCCATAAATAAAGTTTTATTGGAACATAGCCACGTCCTTTTGTTTACATATTATCTATTCATGATACAACAGCAGAGTTGAGTAGTTGTGACAGAAATACATATGGCCCAGGGGCGCCTGGGCGGCTCAGTGGGTTAAGTATCTGCCTTCGGCTCAGGTCATGATCCCAGGGTCCTGGGATCGAGCCCTGCATCGGGCTCCCTGCTCAGCGGGGAGCCTACTTCTCCCTCTCCCACTCCCCCTGCTTATGTTCCCTCTTTCAATGTCTCTCTCTGTCAAATAAATAAATAAAATCTTAAAAAAATATATATATGGCCCACAGTGCCTAAAATATTTACTAGGTAGCCTTTTACAGAAAGTGTTTGCTGATCCCAGATCTAAAACAAGACCTCCAGGTGCCAAGGCAGCTAAGGTTAGAAACTCACTCAATCTCAGTGTAAGCAAGACTGCACAGGAGTGAATAGTAAGAGATGGGATCTAGAAGGAGCAAAACTTCCATTGGCCTCATGTTAGGGCTAGTGGACAAAAGGTACAATAGGCTGTTCCAGTGCCAACTTAGATGGGTTGAGGAGAGAAAGCTTGGGATGGACCATCTATCTATGAGCAATATGAGCAAAGCTGGTCTGGGGCTGCAATCTTGGACCTGTGAGCTGTTCATTTTTATGCTTTTGTATGTTTGCTTTATGTTTTTGTATTTGTTTGCTTTTCCCTTTGTGTTTCAGCAAAACCTCTCTTTTAAAAATTTGAATCTTATCCAATTTAAGCCAATGGAAAAAAATACTGATTCACACCTGGGCTAGGATAAAGTCCAAACTCTTAACTACTCTTAAGCCATATAGTGTCTGGTCTGGTCCTTTCTCACTTGTTAGACTCATTTTCTGTCTTCTCCCTACACTCTGTGCTCCATTCATGCTGTGTAACTACAACCCCCAGAAGTAAGCCTGTTCTACATGCCATGCTTTTTTATACTCTGCTGTTCTGCTTTCCAGGCTTCTTCACTTTCCCTTCCTGGAGAAATTCTCATCCTTCAAGACTCTGCTAAAATGTCACCTCCTCCGGGAGGCCTTCCTGACTGTCCATGCTGGAAGAGATGATCACTCTCACCTTTTTGCCCCTCTACCTCCTATCACAGCACCTGTCCCTCTATATTTACTTAGTCTATGAATCTTTCAAAGTTAGGGAAGATGTTGTAATCGCTTACTTCTGGGACATGGTAACCTCAGTGTGTGAAGGCTGAGAAAGAGAATCAGAGTACTCTAAAGGAGGAATGAACCTTCCAGCTCAAGAACCAGGAAAGATAGGTAAGAAATGGGGCAGATAAATGAAAATCTAGGCAAGGAAGGGCCTAGGATGGCAAAGTTCCTGGTTGGGTTTCTGTTTTTTATTGTTGTTGTTTGTTTTTTCCTTTGTGAAGAATATTGAATAATTCTGTTTAGGAGATACCCTCAACCCTAAAAGACAAAAAACACTATTCAGAGTATTGTTATCATAGCCTCCTGAAGATAGGTATCACAAGACTACATTGTAATTCAGAGAAGACATTTCAGGAAGGGCTGAGATAATTTGGTCCCCACATCATATGATGATGAAGATAAAATGGGGTATATGGATAGAACTTGAACACATAAGACAGCTAATTGACTGGGAGAGGCCATCTTTCGATGCAGATGTCTCATGTGAGCTCTTATCACTCTCATCTGAAACTTAAGAGTCTTCACACTGCAAAGGGACCTTACCAGTAGCCTCTTGGTATTTGGCATTTGGTCAACCCAAGGGTTGTGTCTATTCTTAAGAGAACCATTGCTGGTAACATGGATCTCTTCATTGGGCTGTCACTAAGATCTAAAAACCTTTATTTTACAAGCACAGTTTGAGTTTGATTTGTTTTGTAAACCCAGATTCCTTATCCTATTCCAGCCTGCTGAATCTTATTGGCCACTCTGGGCTCTCTCACACCATTTTGTGAGAACTTCCTGTGGTTTATCTCCATCATGTTGGCAGTTTCTGGTGCAGAAAGGCTGAGTGTCATCAGCAAACTTAATAGTTCCTCTTTTAGATTAGTAATGAAGAATATTCCAGTACTAACATTTTTTTTTAATTTATAAGAGACTTTTTTATAAAGGTCTTTTTCATAAATCAGTTGTCTCATTGTAAGCAAACATTTAGTTTCAGATTCCATTCTTTCTTCGACTACCAGATTTGTGTAAAATGAGGGAATGGTCTCTCTCATCAAGTGGGCTCTTGTAGCTTTCAGTCAGCTCTTTTTTATTATCCTAGTCTCTCTCCTGTTCCCCACAGCAAGTTTCCAAACAGATCCATTCTCCTTAAACCTCCCACCCCCCAGGTTTCTGCAAAGGACCATGCCCACTACTTTTGGAGAAGATAGAGGCTGGCCAACAGTAACTCCTTGGGTTCTTGCTGCCATGTGAACTCATCTGGTTAATTCTGCATGCATCCTGTGCTCTTTCTATTCAGTCACAACTCAAGAGGTACCCTTCCCCTGAATTAGGGCCAACCTTTAAGTCTGTGCCGGGCTGGTTCTCTGAACCTTCTCCCCCCTTCTTCTCAGGGACCTCTCTCAGTGATTTGTTGAGTTCTTCTCATTAGCCTTTATATATGCTTCTATCCCATCCATTTGAAAACCTATCCCTCAGGCAGCCCTCCTCTTCACAACTCAGCTTCTTAATTTAGAGCTGTTTCTATTCTACTTCCTGATCTCAGCATCTCAGCTCCCTTTTAGTCTGGCTTGTATTCCCATCACTCCACTGATACTGTCCTCACAAAGGCCACCAACTACTGCCTTGTTGCTAACCCCAATGCTTTTGTCTTATCTCTCAAAAGCATTTGACTTTACTGACCACATGCTTCTTTTCGAAGAATTATCTTCATCTGGCACTATACTTTCCTGGGTTCCTTTTTCCTCTTGCTTTCTTCTTGGGCTCATCGTCCTGTGTTATCTCTTCAATGATAGTTCTACCCTGGGCTCTGTACTCCCACTGTCCCCACTCTTCCCAAGGCTTTTTTGATTACAAGTAATAGGACCCCAACTCAAACTTAACTAAACAATCTACCAACCAAACCACCATCACCATCACCACCACCAAAAACCACAGCGAAGCAAATACACTGATTCATGTGCCCATAAAGTCCAGTGGTAGAACTGGGATAGCTGGTCCAGAGATGTAAAATAAAGACATCACAGCCTCACTCTCTCTCTCTCTTAGCTTTGTTTTCATCTCTGTTGGCTCCATGCTCTTTCCAAATGATGGCAAACTGCCTGTCAGCAACTCCCGGCTTATATCCAATTCTCTTAAAAAACAATGGAAAAATTTCTACCCAATTTCTTAATTTGGAATTCTAGGAATCATTTTTTGACTCCTCTTCCCCTACTGGTTAATCACCATGTCCCATCCCAACTTCTAAATCTCTCTTCCTCCTTGCTGCCAGTATTTTAGTTCAGACCACCACTTTTTGTCTAGATTCCTGCAACAGCCTCCCAGTGATTTTCTCGATCTTTTCTTTACATCACAGCCAGGGTCATCTTTTTTTTTCTTTTAAGATTGTATTTATTTGTTTGTTTCTTTCTTTATTTATAGAGAGGATGAGCCAGGGGAGAGACAGAAGGAGAGGGAGAGAGAATCTCAAAAAGGCTCTGCGCTGAGCACAGAGCCTGATGCGGGTCTCTATCTCACGCCCCTGAGGTCATGACCTGAGCCAAAATCAAGAGTTGGATGCCTAATCCACTGAGCCATCCAGGTACCCCAGCCAGGATAATCTTTTTTTTTTTTTAAGATTTTTATTTATTTATTTGAGAGAGAGAGAAAGAGCACAGGCAGGGGGAATGGCAGGCAGAGGGAGAAGCAGACTCCCCACTGAGCAAGGAGCCTGATGTGGGCCTCCATCCTGGGACCCTGGGACCATGACCTTAACCGACTGGGTAATCTTTTGAAAATGTTAATTTGATCCTATCACTTGCCCATACAAACTTTGATGACCCCCCTGCATTGGTAGGAAGTTAAAGGCGAAACTCCCTTTTAGGTTCTGTAAGCACTTGGGTGATAGGAATCCTACTTACTCCACTTTTTTTTTTTTTAAGATTTTACTTATTTATTTGACAGAGAGAGACACAGTGAGAGAGGGAACACAAGCAGGGGGGGTGGGAGAGGGAGAAGCAGGCTTCCTGCAGAGCAGGGAGTCTGATGCGGGGCTCAATCCCAGGACCCTGGGATCATGACCTGAGCTGAAGGCAGACGCTTAAGACTGAGACACCCAGGCGCCCCTTACTCCACTTTTCACCTCATCCCTGTTCCAGGCAGTTTGGCCATAGATGCCAGATTAGCCACCTGTCTCTAGCTACGCTCCCCTTCACGTACTGCTCCCTCTACCTGGACCATTTCCCTCTTGAGCGCCCTCCTCCTGAACCTCTACTTATCCTTTCAGGTCTCACATTAGGTTTAACTGTACTGAGAAGAGCCTTCTATACTGTATGATGTACATATTTCTTCCTGTTAGAACATTCTAGTTCTCCCGTTTTAGCAATGATCATACTCTATTGTAATTGTTAAATCATCCGTATCCCTCAGCAGACCGTGAAGTCCACGAAGGCAGGTATTTCCCTTGTTTTGTGAAATATCCCCAGCGTCAGAGTAAGACACCCAATAAATATTTGTTTGAATTGTGAGATTAAATGGGGTATTTATTATTGTGCTAGGGGATTTTCCAGTTTTCTTCTAGATTTTAGAATCTGGATTGATTCAATAAACTACTGGAAAATCTAGAATACAATGTCTACTGCCTTTTAAAAAAATTTTTTTTATTTATTTGAGAGGGAGAGAGAGAAAGTACGAGCACAGAGGGAGAGTGAGAGGGAGAAGCAGACTCCCCGCTGAGCAGAGAGCCTGAGGTGGGGCTCTATCTCAGGACCCTGAGATCATGACCTGAGCTGAAGGCTTAACAGACTGAGCCACCCAGGTGCCCCTGTCTACTGCCTTTTTAAAAAAATGTGCTTATTGATCCTCCTTAAAGAATGTAGAGTTTTAGAACTGAAGAGAAACCTAGTCATCATCTAGCACTATTTCACTTCATTTGGTAGTTGAGGAAGAGGGAACTCAGAGGGTCTGTAACTTGTACAAGCCACAGACCTAATTGGACTTGAACTCAGTCTAGAGTGGCTTCTCCTTCCCTGATATCATGATATCAGCACTATTAACAGACTAGTGTAGTATGATTTTTATATTAATTCAAAGAACTCTTATTGCCTCTAGCCTCACATGTTCTACTTTTTAAAATGTACTTACTGGTCTTGTACGTCTCAATAGATTCCAACAGTTTCTCAGGATGAAAAACCACTCCCTGGTCTGTAGAGGCCCACGTGTCTTCTGGAGTCCTGCCTCCCAGGTAGGGTTGATAGTGTATGTCATGTGCTCTCTAACGCACTGCCCAAAACACTAGAAGTTACACATTGGATTCAGTGGCTTCACTGTTTTGTCTCAGACGGGTAATTACTAAGTAGATGCCATCTGGATTTGATCTGAGGAACACTCATGTTGTGTAAAGGAAGTAACAGACTTCTGTTTAACTCGTATGAACTCTGTTCTCCATTGCCTCTTCAGAGAGGCTGACTGACTGATGTCCATTATGAAACAGGAGCTTGAAAAGAGAATTGCTTCTCTAAAAACCAAGTTGAGGTGTAGAAAAGACTGGATGAGAGTAACTTACTAAGAATAATTATAATGGAACTTGAATATGGGTGAGAAGACAAATATGGGGGAGAATTGTTAAGTAAATTTTTTTTAATTTAAAAATTTAATTTATTAACAACTTTTTAAAAACTTTAAGGAAACCAAAAATGGGCCCACTTAACCAAAGCATTATGACACTCTAGTTAATGGACCTATTCCAAAAGAAAATCCTTGACGGTTCATTCAGAGATTGTGTATAAATGTTCTTCAAGCATTAATTTAGAATAAAATGTGCAATATATTTTCAGTATGATGCCCTGCTTCTCAAGGGCTAGAACTAGCCCTACATATTTCATTTCTTCTAAATCTTTCTGTGCCTAATACAACATCCTGCATATGCTTCTGATGATGGAATTTAATTTCCCTAGCGATTAGTGGGGCCAGCTACTTTCTCTTTCTTTCTTCTTTCTTTCTTTCTTTCTTTCTTTCTTTCTTTCTTTCTTTCTTTCTTTCTTTCTTTCTTTCTTTCTTTCTTTCTTTCTTTCTTACTTTCTTACTTTCTTTCTTTCTTTCTTTCCTTCTTTCCTTCTTTCCTTCTTTCCTTCCTTCCTTCCTTCCTTCCTTCCTTCCTTCCTTCTTGACTGGCCATGCACTTTTATTATTCCTATTTGAGAAGAGACGGTACTATCAACTAGTCTTTCTTACTCTGGGTCAACATTATTGTTTTGTTTTCATCTTTACTTCCTTCTTTTAAACTTGCAGACACTATTTCTTCCAAAAAGGAGAGAGAGAAATGGAATATATAAGGAGATGTTCAATCAACCGGTCTCTATCGGGGCTTGGCATGTATTTGTAGTTCTTGATACTAAAAAAGAAACTAAAAATGAAGTGAAAGACAAGTTTAAATAAGATATATTTAAAACAGATGTTCGTGCTTAAATTTAAAAATTCCAAGTGCAACCCTTTGACCTAGCAAGTCTACTTCTGGAAATCTATCCTATGAAAATAATTAAACACATGCAAAAAGATTTAGTTCTAACATGTTCAGCTCAGCCTTGTTTATAATGGAGGTGAATTAGAAACAACTTGAATTTTGAGCCATGGGGACTTAACATATAAATACAAGGGGATTCCTTAGTTAAAAATGATGTATTTACTGACATATAAAGATAGTTACACTTTATTAATTGGAAAAATGTAAGCTATAAAGTATGTACAGTTTCATCCCATTTTTGTAGAAGAGAAATATGCAAAAATGACTAGGAGGATAAACAAAGATTATATGTAATGAAATTAATTTTTATCCGTGTTTTAAACTTTTCTACAATAAATTTCTATAAAGTTATTTTATATGACCTTTTTCTTGAGAAGTAATTGGTTATAAATAAATATGGAAATATTTGAGGTCTTATGAATAGGGAAGGGTTTATTTTACTTTCTTGCCTTGATACCGTTCTTTCCTAGATGCAGTGGATTCCAAATCAGTAGCTATGTTAGTTGGAGTCTTGTGAGAAGAGAGCAGGTGGCTTGGGTTTTATTTCTAGTTTACTTATTAATTCTCCTTATAACCTTGGGACATTTCTTTTTCAACTTTTTGTCCAATGACTCTCTCTGCAAAATGTGGAGGACTTCCTCATTACTACCCCAGCAGAGATATTGGAAATATTATTGGGCTCTACTCCTGGACTAGAACATAGATACACATAATAAATACTAAATTAAGAGTAACCAATTTAGGGACGCCTGGGTGGCTCAGTCGGTTAAGCAGCTGCCTTCGGCTCAGGTCATGATCCCAGGGTCCTGGGATCGAGTCTCACATTGGGCTCCATGCTCAGCGGGGAGCCTGCTTCTCCCTCTGCCTGCCGATCTCCCTGCTTGTGCTCTGTCTCTCTCTCTGACAAATAAATAAATAAAATCTTAAAAAAAAAAAGGAGTAACCAATTTCTTGTAAATTTCATAAGAATTCACCTGGCCACCCAGAGTAACTTGTCATTCTTACCCTAACTATTCTGAACATGCACTAAATTGCCAAGTTAATTCTGAGCCATTACTTATTAATGAATTCAACAAATATCTGAAAATTGACAGTCTGGATTCAAATCCTGGCTCTTCCCTTTAACTCTGTGAGGTTGGGGAAGCAAGTTAATTTCTCTGGGCCTCAGCTTCCTCATGTATAAAAGGGATAGTATAATACATTGTTGTAGGGATTAAAGGAGATACAAAATGTATAATGCCAGGTACATAGTAAGCTCTCAATAAATAGTAACTATTAAGTGCCTAATATGTGCCAAATACTGCGATTCACATTCATTCATTCTACAAACATTTATTATTTAGTATGGGCCAGAGTTCTAGGTGCTTGGGTCACATCAGTGAACAAAAGAGACAAAACAGACTCTCCTGTTACTGTGGAGTTAACATTCTAGCAAATGCAAAGATTAAATACAATGTAGTCCAACCCGTGGTTATTGATAATAAGAATTTCTATTATTACTATTAATATGTCATGTGCCAGCCACTGTGTAAGTGGTTTTTATATATAACCTTATTTTCTCATTAACCATGTGAGGTAGGAATTATTGTTGTTATTTGCTGGTTTGGAAACTGAGCATCAGAGATGTAATAAATTAAGTCAGCAAATAAGTAGAGGAGTTGGTATTCAAACCCACTTAACCACCACACCTTCCTGCCTTCACTTGGTGAGTCATTCATTTTTTGCTTATGGTTCCTTCTTCATATTCTTGCCAACACTTTTTGCTCTGCAGTAGGAGCTGCAAGGAAACGACATTTGAGTTTCCCTTATTTTGTATTAAAATACTTAATTATCTCTGCAGGAAATGCTGGGAAGGAATAAATGACTCCTCTCCATGTGTAGAAAAGGGGTCACAATTAGCGGGAGAGAGAAGTCAAGATGCAGCCTTGAGAGAGGCACATGGAGGGTGTCTGGGGGAGATTCCCAGGGGGATTCCCTTGATGCTGATCATCCTCCCAGGAGGCAAACAAAGAGTTGATGCTTCCGATTTGTATCTCTTGGTGTTGCATCATCTACATTTCCTGGCTCCTCCAGCTCTGAATATCTCTCCTCCTCTGCAGTTGCCCAACTATCTGGAATGTTCATGTCCTCAAAGCCATGTTAGATAACTATCGCTAGAATTTCAAAAATTATTATGATGAAATATTTCAAGGATTTAGAGAAGTGTAAAGAACATCATGTACTCACAACTGTTTGGTCAAATCTTCACATTTTGCCTTTTTGTTCCAGTTGCTTTTTTTTAAATAAAAAATATGAATGTAGCTAAAAACCCCCTGTGTACCTCTCCCCAGTTTCTCTTTCCTCCCTCCCTCCCTTCCAAGAGGCCACCACTGTTCCAAATTATCATTATGGTGCATGCTTTTGTCCCGTCACTTGCTACATATAAATGCGTGGATAAATACACTTACACATGACGCTCTGAGGCACATTCTTATAGCTGTGTCCTTGTCCACATGGGTGGGAGTTTCTCTAGCATGTTTGTCTAGAGCTGCAATGCTGGGTCATTGTGAATGCACACTGATTTGGCCAAATTTCTCTCCATACTGATTGTACCAGTTGATGGTGTATGTGACAGTTTTTGCTTCTGCGCTTAGTTGTGCTTACTCTTGTCTGATTTTTAAATTTTTTTTTTTTTTTTTGCGGATCTGATGCATGTGAAATGATCTCTCATTAATGGTTTGTATTTACCTTATAATGATGCTGAACATTTTTTCATGTGGTTATTGGCCATTTGTGTCTCCTCTTTGTTGAATTATTTGTTCATACTCTTGGTTTTTTTGTCTGTCATGTTATTCTCTTTCTTGTTGGTGGAAGTAGTTCACTGTATATTCTGGTTACTGATCTTTTTTTTTTTTTTTAATTTTATTATGTTATGTTAGTCACCGTACATCATTAGTTTTTGATGTGGTGATCCACGATCCATTGTTTTCGTATAACACCCAGTGCTCCATGCAGTACGTGCCCTCCTTAATACCCATCACCAGGCTAACCAATCCCCCTCCCCGCCTCCTCTCTAAAACCCTGTTTGTTTCTCAGAGTGGTTACTGATCTTTTACCTGTCATGCATTGTTCAGGGATCTCCACGTCTCTTGCTTGTCTTTTGCTTTGTTTATGGGGTATTTCAGTATACAGACAAGTTTAATTTGAAGGTAGTCAATGATTTCACAATCTTTATTGTGTTTTCAAGTATTATTTAAAAATGTTTTCTCTCCCACTCCAAAATCATATGTGTATTTTTTTCTAAAATTGTTTTCAAGTTTTGATGTTCACATTAATCATGTAATCCATCTAGAATTTATTCTGCGGTTGGTATCAGTTAGGGATCCATTTTTCTTTTTCTTCCATACGACTCATCAATTGGTCCAGCACCTTTATTGTATAGTCTCTTCTTTCTCCACTGATCTGTTATATCTGTCTGAAACCAAGTTTCCATACAGTTGGGTTCGTTTGGGGGCTTCTTTGGTTGATTGATCTAGATGTCTATTCCTGGGCCAATATAACACTGCCTACATACTGTAACATTTTTTACATCTTGATATCTCATAGGGAGAGGGGGACTAGGTTGTTTTCACTTTGTTCAAAATTATTTTTTGTTATTCTTAGTTTTTTATATTAGATTTTAGAATCAGCTAATTTAGTGTCAGAGAGGTCCATGTGTTACAATCAGTGAACCTATACGAATG